ATCTGCCAGTTCGCTATGTGCAGCGCGGTGGCTAGGTGCAGCGTGGTCGATATGAGCAGCGCAACCTCTTGTGCAGTGGCTCTAGTCGTTAACATGACTAAAAGTTGGAGATAAATTTGTAATACATAGTCCTTGATAGAATGATAAAATGTTCTCGAGTCAAAGTGAAAATAGGAATGGAAGATTTTAAAGGGTTACAGTAATTAATTTATATTTCAAATAAAATTTAAATTAAAATAAGTAAAAACATTATAGTGGGAGATGGCCAATCATTAAATAAAGCTTCCGAAAGGTCCGATCCGAACCCATTCCTCAAATCAAGAATGGTTTTCTTTAAGTAGAAAACTATTATGAAAACTAATGCCAGACTTTTTCTACTAATGAAACTAGTGAGTGATGAACGACTGAAATACGACAATGATCAATTCATGAATATTAGCAATAGTTAAAATGCTGAATTGTCATTGTTCCTAAGACCATGTTGAAAGCAACGAACGTAACACTTTGCGTTAATTTTTCAGGAAACTTAAAGCTTTGATTTTCGGCAAAATTTTGTAACAAAATTATATTTGCAAATGAAAGCTTTCCAAAAATTGTTGTAACGCCTTCAGCCTCCCAACTGTTAGCCAATTTTTCCTTCGACGCTAAGACTACCGATATTTGAAATACACGCGCTAAATCCTGCCCAGTCATAGGTATAATAAAGCAGCTACTTTTGATCCCGCTTGCCTCAGCTACAAATGATTTTTATTTCACTAAATAGGGTTTTTTGGGGGGAAATTGTGGTAACCCAATCATGCCGAAATGTTTGGAATTTTTTGTTGCTGTTATTATAACTGAAATGAACTCTCATCTATTTGCTTGATAATTATAAAAAAATCTATCTATCTAGAAACGCTTTTCGATTGTTGTATACTTCGTTTCTTGATATTTGGGCTTAGGAGCTGCTGTAGCAAACGCTACACTTTCTTATGTTCTTACATCTTACATCATTCAGTTTATGCGGATTCATGCAATTTCCAGAGCGATTGGAAATAGATTCGATTTTTAGTACACTATCGATTCAAAATTGTTAACTAAATCTTTCTAAGCCTTTTTATTCGTCTGCTAACGTGTCACTTATTTAGATTTTCTCATAAAAAGTAAACTTTTACATGACGACATATACATTTTTTAACGAGTATATAAATTGTGGTTAATTTGGTCAAAGTCGACTCAAGCCTTGCCCTGCCTCCCATATTAGATGTGTTCGCAAAGTTATCTTTAGAAAATAAAAATTTCAAATTTTTATTAAATTCTTAACTTTACACGGTAGTAGACGAAATACCTGTTTGTCATTGACTTACTTATTTGATAAGGATTGAATTTATAATTAAGTAATAAGCTATCTTAACAGGCGCGCTCATAACTCTAAAAAAATACGGCATTCAATCACTTTTGTTTTGCAGTACCCGGCTGAAAGCGTTAAAGACTCAGAAATGCCAAAGGTCTCGTCTCGACAGTAAAATGTATAGAAAAAAGAAAAAAAATGGGCAGCCAAAAGCCCAGCCAATATTATTGAGTGTCGAATTTTAATTCTTTTTTCCAAATGTCTGCGATACCTAGCAACACGATTAAGCGACACTACAATGTGTATGTTTTCTTGCTCAGTAACATATTATGAGACGATCTAGGCATGTCCGCCCATGCCGTTTATCCGTTTATCCCAATTGAGCAACTTTAGATGTCGGCTGCAAATTTTTTAAAATCGTTGGGAGTCATTGCAAGGCGATGAAATCGCTCAAAGGTTTCGTCTACGGTACAATATGAATCGAAATTACTTTTGTTTTCAAAAGCAACAAGTAAGAGAATTATATTCGGCCGACATTGAAATTTTTCTATTTTCTATCTTTACCTTAAAAAAAAATAACTAACTAACTAAGCTATGTTTATGATGAGCGTGGCTAAGTTTTTCCATTATTCAGGAAACACGTATTGTAATTTATGAGTAATGAATAAAAACCCAAGAAATCACTAATGTCCTCATCTTAACCCACACTAAAATTGTGTATTTGGATCAATTTCGCCCATTTTTTGCCGAACTTGAGGCTGATTATTGTTTTAGCTAAGAGAATATTTACGACAGGCAAACACACGGATAACGGAAACTTAAATCGATTCAAAAATTGGCATAACTCAGGAATGTATCCGCACGAGTAGCCGAGTTCTTCAAGTCTTTGTCCGCGAGTTCAAATCTTAGTGTGGCCCAGTTTATTTTGGTCGTAGCTATAGTGAACGCTTAATGGGTCCAGGCGTAACACTTCTCGATTGAGCACACTTCTAGGCTTTTTTCACCTTTTTCTGACTTTGGCCGTGTTACATTAACAAAGGACATCCTCTGTATGATTACTTGGATTAAAAAAGATACACTTTGTAGAGTCTCTGAAGATGCCAATGAATGAACGATGAATATACCAACAACCTGCGGCGGTAGAGATAAGAGAACTCTGGGACTCTTGCTCATTTGTCGCAAAGTACAAAAGGCATAATGTTAAAAATTTCCACGCATCTTCTCCGCTATATGCATTAAAGTGGGAAAGATCGACTGTACTCACCCATTATTAGGCAATATCCAAAATTTATTTATTTATTTTGTTTTTTTTTTAATTCTTTTCAAAAATGGATAGTGGATATATAAGATTCGATCATGGCGGAATACAATTTTCTTATTTATTTGGTGTTAGAAAAGTGTTGAGCAATACAATGAAATCTTGGGAATATTTAGTTGACAGTAGTTTAAGACGAATTTCGTAAACGATAATAGAATAACTTGAGTGTTTGCAAGACTAAAAAGTTTTCTAGGCATTGACGATGTAATAAACGAAAGCAGATGGACTGTGCTAATATGCTAATAACAACAACGTATATTTACATATTTTATATTAGAGAGTTTTAAAAGCATTTGCTCATGAGTTGATTTTTCTAATCGCTTTTAAAAAATAAGCAATGTACAAGAGGTCTGTTTCAATTTTATCAAATTTATTTAGCAATAACATCAATAATTTGAGTGAGAAATATATAAAAAAATTTTAATTTACCACTAAGCTGAAATAGCTCTTTTTCATTTTTATTTATAATCTTTATAGCTTTTTACGACTGAATGTCTAACGTATGCACACACGCATATATATGCATATGGCTATATATGCGTGTATTTATATTAAAACAATATGTTAAAAATTGAAAAAAAAATTGTTAGTATAAATGCCCATATAGTTGAATGAGTGTGCGTTAAAGCTGTTAACACATACAAAAGAAAATTTATAAGTATAAAAACTATAGAATAAGAGCACGTTCAGCTCAATTAATATGCCTGATAGCTTGTCGTTGTTGTTATTGCTTTCGCACAAATAAAACATTTCGTGTTCATAATATTTGACTTCAGTGTATTCAAAAAAAGGGAAAACTAAATCCTAATTGTCAAAAAAAAAAAATAAATAAAAAAAAGAGGCAGCAAAAATGGGAAAAATTTCTAGGTCGAATCCGTAACGCTCATCACACCAAAAGGTTTATTACAAACAAAACGCACATTGTCATCCAGTTGACTTCATTAACCCATATATATATATTGTAATACAATCGATTTGTTTACACATCTGTTTAAACAACCAGTATTACACAAATGGTATGCCAATGCAAATAGCAAGCAGTTAAGCATTTCTAATTTGATTTGGATTTCATACTATCCGAAAGTGTACTGGAGGGCATATAAAAATAATAAACACATACACACATACAATTTTAATTTAATGTTTCATTGAGAAATTAATGTTTCAAACTTTCTCACATATAACGTAGTAAAGGACCGATTACAAACTCGCTTAAATATATTGCATGCTTCGTATAACGGTTACCGTTGTTATTATATATTAGGTTAGGTGATTCTTATATTCATCACGAGAAGATTCTATTAAACTTGTCGATGATTTCTAAAGTGTAGAACGATGCAAGGGTAGCCGAGTAAGTAAGAGTCGTGATTAACAAGTCCGTATTCGCGGGTTCAAATCTCAGTGGGGTAGAGTTTAGGTTGGTCGTAGCTATATTCATTCCCCCGAGTATTTGGCCAAAAAAAAAAAAAAGAAAAAAAAAGCAAAACCATTCCAGCTCTATGTACGAGTACGCTCTCTATTACGCTATGTATATCAACTTGTTTGTAATTGGTAAAACACCACCTTCAGTTTCTTCATTTTAAATGTATTATCGCTTAAGGCTTTACATAGAAAATTTAATTGAATTTTACATATGCCTCTTTAAAAATTCCAACCGCAAGCCTTAAACAACGCTGGCCACTAGCTATGTATCTTATAGGTAGGTAACTAGTTCTCATTTGAAAGGCCTGCCTTGAGAAAAATTCGATTGAGAGTTATGTACGGCTTTCGTTATTCGAAATTAAACTCAAAAAAATAATGGGAAAATAAAGGGTTTGCTTAAAATGATACAATCAATGCACAAAATCATACACAGATAAAATTGTGTAAAATTTTTGACGAAATAATATGAAATGAAATAATTTCATATGATTCATACAATTTCATATTTTCATTGCTTACGAATACTTTCAATTAATTTATTATTATGAAGAATACATAATAGAATTGCGGGTCAACCATAGTTTTGCATTATATAAATAAAAGTCAACTTTTTATTATTATTATTATTACTATAAATTTAGCCAGAGAATAAATTCTAAGACTAAAGTTTTAAAGCACTATCATCTAGGGCTATTGGCTTTTTAATTTTCATAAAACATCTTAAAGCGGATTTATTGCTTACATATTTTTATTTCACTACAATTAAATTTGAATGCGAAAAAGATATGCCGGTTTATATTGCCTCAGTTACTCGCCTCAACTGGGAGGCCTCTAGCGAAACGTTGACACCGTCGCCAAGATAAGATACCTTAACCTGGGAAATCAATTGACAAAACACAATTGAAGTAAAAAGCAAAAAAAAAAAAAAATAATAAATAAATAAATAAATAAATTTACATACCTTTCATAAATTGAAAACTTTTGTTTCGGTTCAGCTATTTTTCTTCGCAATTTATTTAATTTTCAATTCACAGCTGTTTTCTCTTTTAAATGCAACTCTAAACAAGCAATACTAACGCAAAGTGTCATCAATTTTGCTTGCTTCTGACAGTTCTGAGAAAGCGTTTCGCGCATCTCTTGTGCATACCTAAAAAGATTCTACTTTCGACTTATTAACTGAAAACTAATTGACATCATACATAATAGGTGCCCTAATTTTTCGTCGGCAATTAGAAGGCAACCTAACCTGTTATTATCAGTTGGCGTAGTTACCTTCAAAGTATTGTTATTTGCCTTATTATGTTGCTGCGATTGTGTGAAAGTAATCACATATAATATGTGCTTTTGCCAAACAACTGAATGCAAAACCGAAAGCTGACTTTCAGCCAAGTGATTATCCCCACGATTTAAAATATCGTATATTAATTATCTTTATAAACGCGCGATCTTCCCTTTCTCGTGCAGTCACGCATCCAATATTCCTAAGCAATAAAATGTAATCTACTGAAAAAAAAAAAAAATTGTTATTTCTTTTTTTCTTTCAACACCAGCTGGAGACGAAGTTTAAAAACTTGAATTTAGCCCAAACGTAATGTTTCTCGTGCTTGTTTTAAAAATATTTTCTAGAAATGGAATGCCTCATCTCTGTTTTAAATCCTTTACTTTTTCCCCATTTTATCTGCTATGTGTAAATGTTGTGCATTTTCTGTAACTTACTATGGCTTGGCGGTTGTCAGAAAAATTCAGTTTCTCTCTTATTTTAATTTTTTGTTTGTTTTTTGTCTTTTTCGTTTTTCTCTTTTTGCTATCAGTTTGTTAGTCTATTCACAGTTCGAACTAGTTTAGCATTCTTTTGTTTTCACTTAACTTTAACTATATTTTTATTTTTCCATTGTAGCTGTTTTTGTGGTTTCTACTTTGTTAACATCTTGAAACAGTTAAGTGTCATGTTCACAGACACGTATACTGTTTAAGATAGTAACGGTTAACGGTTTTGCTGGCAGAAGCACCAACTGTGTGATCGTTCCCGTTTTAAATAGATTTGTATGCATTCAAGACATCGTCTCAACGTTTTCAAAAGTAAAAATTGAAAACGAAGGCGTAGTAGCTATGAAAAAAAATACCTAGTATTATGACATGGTGTTGAATTCTATCTTAACAGGGAGAAGAAAAATTTCGGAATTTCAGTCCTTTTCGTGTATACAAAGACGAAAGTTGTCACAGCAATTCGAAACTATCGGATTTTCTCCTTCGCTACATCAGGTAAAACATTGACAATTGGTTTACAATTCTGAATGTGCATTACTTTACGGCAAAACGTTGAGGATTTCGTAACGCACAGGAGTATAAATCCAGTTCAGATTATAAACACAACCAGGCAAATACAAAAATGAAACCATTAACACGCTCTCCAACGGTGATAAGCGTCCCAGTATAGCGCTGGAAATTCTTGCAATATTTTCTAAAACAATTTCAAATTTGTATATAGTATACACCCAACACTTTTTTTTACCCAATGGATGGGGTCCTTAGAAAGCCGTGCAAAAAAAATTCGTTAAAAACATTTGCGACATATGCTTAATTTGAGGATGTGTTCCAACAAAATAAAACATCATTTAAGATGAAATAACTTTAACTATTTGCCCAAAAAACCGTGCAAAAAAAGTAACAATGAAATCCGTATCACTTTTTTATAAAATTTAAAACGTACACTTTTATTACAAAAACCAAACTTAAATTACTCTACACTGAGAACAAATAGAACAATAGATTAAAATTTAAAATGGGGAATAAAAAACAAAACTTTTCTTTCGGATTCGTGCTGGAATAAACAATTCGTGTAAAACAGTGTGATTGAGTCAACAGTTACTGGTTGAAATTCTCCTTCGACTGTTCCTGTCTACACAAGTTTCTATAAGACTGTGTCACTATTCGAATTCAAGAGAAATCTGTTTTTTGGGATTCTTGAAAAAAATGTATTGATGAACTATGTTAATTCAAAGTCATGTAAAAAAAAAAACGTGTAAACAGAGAGTTGGGTGTACATCATAGCATCTGAAGCGTAGCCTTGCTGGCTAACGTAAATTTATGATACGTAAATTTGTTTCCTAAGTTTGACCCCAAGCGGGAAGGAAAGTTTTAATATTGATGCAGTGAACTGGGCTAGTGTTACTAATTGAAGCTAAGCCACTGCTGACGCCAATTTTTAACGCCACTATATCAATTCATAAAGTTGATCTTACTGTTAATATGTCCGATAGTATTCCAATAATTCATGTTCCCATTAAGTGACATCATGGTAGTTGAAAGTCAACTTTAAATCTTCTTCTCCACCTAAGACGATTAACATTGACCAATTTTCAACAAAGCCTTGCTTAGAATTTTGTTTGGTAAACACATTTCTTAAATTTTACTGAACATGTGACATGAATGTTGATTTTCTACGAATCACACACCACTCGACTTTTTCTTTGTCAAACCCAAAAAAGAAAAAAAAAAAAAAAATCAATTGGTTTTGGCACAAACACTTCTATGAATATTGTTGTTGTTGCAAACTCTAGAATTCTATTCAAACTATAATTTATAGTTACACTTGCCAACTTCATTATCATCGGTGCTAAATTTCGCTTAACTCACTCCACTTAACCATTTCCTCGAGATGATCCCATAGCAATCTTCATCTATCTGACATTAATAATAATATAGCCGGTCAACAATTTTTTTTATACTCAGTCTCAGATGGAACATTTCCCTGCCGGATGATTGCATTAAAGCTTCATGCTTTGCCAGAACCGTAGTGCATTTTAAACGATTACACATATGATCTTTGACCTTCTTCCTTAACCAAGGAAACCAGTGCGGTCAATTATTTGCATGGAGGAGTGGGATTCCCTGAATTATGCATAGTGTAAAGGTGTAATGTATTTTTTTGCACTTTAGTTTGGTTTTTCAATTGTATAATTTATTTTTTATAATATATTTGATGAATTAGAATGTGTAAGCAACGTATCTGTCGTGTAAGAAGAGAATTAGATGTATACGCAAATGCGCTTCCAGAGTTCATTGCACTAAATTGCCGTAGTAATGTTTATTATATCTTTATATTATAATACTTGTGTACAGCAGCAGTTGTTATTATATGTAATTTTTCTTTCTTTCCTTTTGTGCTTTTCTTTCCACTTGCAGCTATTAGTTTGTCAAATAACTTATATTTTTTTTTTTATTCCTTTTGCTAAACTCCCCATACAAAACGCAAATGTAACGCCGACGCTTTTTGTATCAAATCAAAAGAAGTTTTTTGTAATACAAAAATTTCTTCTTTTTTTTTTTTTTTTTGATTCACCGTAAGATCATGTTCAGGTTTATATATTCTCATCTGTTATTACGCAAATATATGTATATATATGTTTTTAAATGTATTCTCTGTATTCGCTAATGCAGACTTGTTTGATTCAAACACAATTACTTATGCATATAAAAATGCCGTCATATACGTAGCAATGTAAAACTACGTTCCTTTAAATGATACATGCCTTAGCCTTGTTTCGCACTCTTACTCTGGCATTGTCATGGCTCAATTGTCATAAAATTAGTTATTAGGTTTGCTTGTCATTGTTTCTGTCACATTTGTATTAAATTTCGTATTGCAAAGCGAAAGTCACAACAAAACTCTTTAACATAATTTGCCCCAAAACAGCGGAGCATTCGGCAAAACCGACCGAATACAGCAGTGAAAGGTAAATTTTGCATACGTGATTACCCCCCAGAGTTATTAAATTACGAAATGAATGAAAAATGAAAAAAGTACAATTGTGAAATGGAGCAAATTTGAAGGAAATTGTTATCTCTCGAATGTATTGCTAATCTTTTAGATTGCAATCAAATGAGTTTGAGCAATCAACAAAAAATTAATAGAGAAACAAAAAAGTGTTTCTTTTTTTTTTCTATAGGCCTACCTTTGCTTATTTTTCACAAAGTTGCGTAAAAAAATTGGGATTGTTTTTCTGTCGTCTTGTACGTATTTCTTTTTATTTTCTTCTAATCTTTAAAATTTTTCCGCTTATACCGTTGCCCAGCCCTCTACTATTATAATAATAATACGCTCAGTGATCTGCTGAAGAGTACATCGCAAATTATGCGATGTTTTTGGAAGTCTTCACATTTATGTTTAAACGTCAGATAAGATAGTAAGATAATAAGCCCGCTTTTTACGTTGTTGGGCAGAAACGTATGGTCAGTGATCTATCAGTGAATGTGTACGATAATGGTATTAATCGACTGCTAGCTTCTTGCTTTACAATTTTTCGATGTATTTTCGGTTTTATATCACTTTGGAGGTTATCGTATCATTTCACATTTTTCCTTCCGCTCATTCGCTTAAATGCAACTTCCTGTATCTTATCATTTTCCTACACCTATGTACTTAAATTAGTTATCTGACTATACAGGATTGCTAAGCATAATTATAATATCCTTATGGATGAATTCCGTGACGCACAAATCAATCATTTTCTTATTCTACTTACATAAGCTCTTCCGCACATATGTTTCACTTATGCGCATGATTTACAGACTTGGCCAGACTTACCTTGCTTAAACAAAGCAGAGCTAGGCCGAGACAAAGAAGAAGAACAAGCGTTACTTGGCTGAATAGATATCAATTTAATGAAAAGATGTCAGAATGATCAAAACATTTCCAATTAGGGATTCCATAATTAACAATTTTGCTAACATTTGTCTAACTTATTAGAGACCTTGTTTAATTCGTTATGAATTTCCTTGAATTTATTTCATCAATTAATGGATTGCATAGTTCAGCTCACTGCAAGATGATGGCGCGGCAACACCAATGACGACCATGGAATTTCACGGAGATGCAATCAAATGATTTTACTTCAAAATCCGCTCTTTTTTGTCGTAATCGCGACGCACTTATGCCGCCTTTTTAGTACTTTTGCGGCATTTCCAACTGGCGTAGTATCAGTTCATTCTCATTTTTAATGTTAAAATATCAGGCAAACATGATCAATACAAGTACCATACGGCAAAACATCTATAATTAATTAAAATGACAATAGAAATAATTATGAGCGGTAGCAAATTAGAAATTGTTCTTATCTATATAAAGATGTTGTTTACGATGATGATTATCCAAATTTGATCAATTTTTAAATGAAATTTAAATGCTGTTTAATTGAATGTAATTGATGCATTGATGGTGTGTTGCTATCGGCTATTTCTTGTTCCAGAGATGATTAATAATGCACTGAACGTTAATAAAAGCACAATCAACCGCCCTCAAATCTTTATCAGAAGCGACAAAAATTGAAAACACTCTCATTGCATGCCTTGGTTATCACTGTAATGCAAGTGATGATTGAAAACTGTGTTTAACTGCCGCTAATGTCAATTGTTTGGATATGCTACTTGATAAAATTGATATTTTATCAGAGAAATTGCAATTACTATTCTAGTTAACGCTGAACATACAATCATAAACACTTTCCGGTCATAAATAAAATGTCGACAGTTAATTAAACATAATTAATACCATGGAAATAATGCCCTTTTATTAAAACGTAGAAGACGTTATGCAAGAGACGAAAAGTATAGAACATATTAGTGCAGGATTGCTATCACTCTTTTGCGTCGAACTTAACGCAAATATGTGGATTGCATAATTGTGATAAGGTATTTGTAAAAACATACCTTTTTGACGCATTTAATGCAAAACCGCAGGCAAACTCTTCGAGCACTTTTTGATCCTTTTGTCATCAAACAGAATATATAAGCATCAAGGCTGTCTGTGAAAAATCTAACATTCATTTATTTCGCTAACAATCCCACTAACACTTGCACTTGCACTTCATACTCAAAGTACAATGTACAATTGGAGAAGCGACTATATAGATTCAATTATATAGGTTGAATCGCAATATATATGTAGATTCATTTAATAAGTGACCGTTAGACGAAAAATTATTGTACAAAAAGCAATAAGGAACAGTACCAAAAAAATGTTCATTTATTAGATTTGTATTGACAGTGAAAGTTTATCGATCGATTTGCAAACGTAGCCTGTGAAAAGAAATAACGAACTATTCTCGATAATATTTATTATATAAAATTAAGCTTTCAAATTTTAATCAGGAAGGCGGAAAAATTAATTTCAGTAATATTCGTTAAGAACATTCGAAAAAGGGCTTATTGTAATCAATTCCATACTACGGTCACATCTCGTATAAGGTCGCTCACCACTATAT